CCCCCCCCACCTTCTCTCTTCCTTTCTTTTTCTGAGTGGGAGGAATGAGGTGGGCTCGGCCCCTCGGCCACGGCGCTGGGAGAGGTCGTCGCAGGGAGAAACTATTCGATGAAATCATGATTGAAGCACTTTATTATCACTAACATAATCAACCAGCAAGCAGTGAGCTCTGCGTTCAGGATCGACTTCAGCGACAAAACAGGTAAAACCCGCTAATAAACACCCCTAAAACATTTGACAAACACCTACAAATCCCTGCTGTTCCCCAAGATGCTCAATAAGTGACAGATTAAATGTTCAAACGCATCCAGCGGTTATTATTCCACCTCCGAGGTCAGTACACACGCTTAAGAGCTGCCTACAAGCAGCACTGGGTCCTGCTCTTACCCGTGGCTGTAACTAGTCAAACTCGATTTATATGCAATGCAGATTTATTGCAAGGTTAGAGGGGAGAAACATGTGGAATTTGGGGTGAAAAAGCACAGGAAACGTTCATAGCGCTGCATGCAGTCCTGAGTGAGGGGCTGGCTGGTTGGAGAGTCGAGGCGAGGACCTGGCGTCCTTGCTGCCAGCAGCGGGCTGCAGCTGCGATTCGGTACCTGTCACAGGGCGATCCCGCTGCAGCAATTCCTTTAATACCAAATTTTGACCTTTTTACCAGCTGCTGGAGCATTCTGGGTTGTGTAGGTGCCTCAGCCTGTTTCTCAGCTGCCTCCTTGCTTAACCATGTTTTGTTCTTTCTTGTATTGCAAGCGTTTTTTTCCAGCTCACAAGGCTGCACTTCCTCAGTAGTTGCCCATCGTTGAGCTGTCCTTAGCTATGGCGCCTCTATTTTCCACCCGTGCTCATATTTCAAAGGCTTTTAAGCTTAAAGTCCACTCTAGATCAAGAGACACCTGGTAGCAAGCTCAGCTTCGCCCAGCAAGTCCGCAAGAAGCCGAGCGGGCCCCAGGCCGGCGGCCCCGCATGCAAAACACGAAGCCAGCGCCACACCAGAGAGTGGGCTAGCATTTCCGCTCGCAGATCCAAGACTCGGCTCTGGAGCAGAGGGCATCATTCCAGCGCCCGCTGGAGTAGATGGTGGCGCAGTCCTCGCCGTTGAGGCCAACGTTGTTGGGCTCGCCGCTGTTCCAGAGCCTGGGGAGAGAAGAGCAGAGCTGCACACAACCAGGTGGGGAACGTGCAGAGATTTGGGGGGAAAAAAGCTCTCGCTCGGGTGCCAGCAGCATCTCCCAGTTCTTTGATATGTTTAAACGTGCTAAGCCAAACCGAGAACGCAGCCTGGCGTGAGCTGCAGTTCCTTGTGCAGAGTTTCCACCTCGGTCTTCGTTCCATGTCAGAATGCAAACCGTGTTTTCCAAAAGACGCAAATCCTGCCTGTGCTAGGGCCGTTCCTCACCCCTTTCCATGCTACCCAGTGCTTCCCCTCTCCAGACCTGTTTTGGGTTGACCAGCCCCAGCAGCAGGAGACCCAGAGCAGCCAGTGAGACCGTACAAGTACGCAAAGAAGGAAACAGCACTAACAGGGATGAAACACTCTGCTAAGAGCATCCCTGGAGCGAAAAGGAGCTGAGGCCGAAGCGGTGTGATTTTGCAGGGCAATTTACCCTCCAGCAAGGACAGAGAGACATACCTGAGAGAGAGCGGGCGGCCATCCACCCACTGCCAGTCCCCTTCGTTGTGCATGTCGGTGAGGCCCAGCCAGAACACCCGCGTTTCCATGACCTGATTTGCCAGAAACTTCTACATGGGGGGAGAAGAAGGTGAAGAAGGAGTCACGATACAAAGCAGCATGAGATGACAGGCAGGGAGCTGCCAGCGTTCATGGCCGGCCCGCAGCAGCGTTGCAAATCCTTCCCCCGAGTTTTGGCCGTTGCAATTTGGGGCTGTTAATGTGCGGCTGGGATGTTTCTTGGGAAGGGTGCCCCCTGGCACCACCTGGAGCGGATGCCGGACTTCAGGGTGGGTGTAACAGGGAACCCACCTCCCTGCGGAGAATGAGCACGCAGCAATGTCTCCGGGCAGAAATGGGAGCGATGGGAACTGCTGGAGTTGCCAGTATCTGGAGGGAGAAGGTTTTTCTCACAACAGATAGGCTTTAAATGCTGGATTGCTAGAAAAGCTCTTCCAAATGGGAGGTAGGATTCATTTAAATTAGGGCAGAAATGCCTATTTGAGTGTGGTGTGGGTTTTGTTTCAAGGAGCTGCCCCGATCATGAGGTGGGATCATGCACAGGGTGCACTCAGATCCCCACCAGTGCAGATTAGCGGCTGGGGCAGCTTTTGGGCAACAGGATTCCCTTGGGTTAGGGCAGACCTCGTGGATGCTCCCCACAGACATTTCCCAAAGAGGGCTTAAATCAGGGCAGCAGCTGTGGTTTGGGGGCAGGTTTGCCCGATTTGGCCAAGGGTTGTATCCGAACCTTGAGGGCACCTCGAATTCAGGGACCTCAGTGCTTTTTCCCTCCTGCCCAGGCGGTCTTGGTGTGCACAGAATGACCTGTATTTAGCCTTCAGCTTTCTGTTCGCGATGCCCGACTCGAGCCTTCGCCTTTCGCGAGGGATTTACAGAGGGAGCGTTTGGCTTACGTTCTCCTGCTCGCTGTCAATGATGGCCAAGTGAGAGCTGTGGTTAACACAGAACAGGTGAGCATCCATCCAGGCTTTCTGGGATGTTGAGAAGTAGTAGCAGGTTCTTAAGAACTGCTGCCAGCCGGCCGGACACCGCGTGCAGATCACCTCTGCAGAGAACAAGAGTATGCCTCGCGGAGAACCGACGTGGGGTGAGAGCTGGCCCCGGCGGGGTCCCGGCAGCATCCCTTACCTGACATGTTGCGCATCTCCTCCAGCATGCCGGTCAGCAGCGCTTGCGTTCTGCTCTGCTCACGCCTCAGCTCAGCCAGCTCCTCCGGCGCCGGCTGCGTCGCGGTCCTTCCCTCTGTGGGGGCAGGCAGGGTGGAACTGCGCGGCTGCTGGCCGCATGCCTTCCCCGGAGAGCCGCTCCAGCTCTCTGCCCTTCTATCCCAATTCTATGCCTGAGCTTTTTCTGGGTTTTATTCACTACTGAAACTTTTCTGCAGGCATTAAAACCTCACAGCTTTCATGTGCAGTGATCTTTTATTCTAGTAGCCTTGCAATTGCATCTGCTTATCAGCCAGCTTCTCAATCAGAGGGTAAGTAGTTGATAAAGGCTTTTCTCCTCTCTATATGTTATACCTAATAATGTATCAAACTAATTAAGACCTGATTTGAGTACTCCCACTCCCCCCTGTTGCTTCCAGCACATTTTAGGAATCTTTGGCAGTCTAGAAAAACCCGCTAACATGCACCTTCTGTAGAGTATTAGGAGAGTTGTTGAGAGCCACCATTTTAACGTACAGTTCATTGAAATCAGGCTCTCCAAAGCTTGAAGCTTTTTACAGCGGACTTGTAAGAGCGCCATATCTTCTGTGGCTTGGTAAAAAGCAGGGTCTGTCCCCCATAAATACCAGCGAGCAGACACACATCAGTGCTGGGCTGGATCAGGGGCTGCTGCAGCAGCGGGTGCTGAGAATTCGGCCAACCATGCAGTGATGGGCGATGATTTTGGGGCTCCCTGTCCCCCACCTTCACAGCTTGCCTTCTCCCTGCCTGTCCCCAGGAGATAAGCTCAAATCAGGGATTCCCCGTCCGAGGGAGCAGCTGCCACAGCCAGGTGCTGGTAGGAGATCTCTCACCTAGGATGCGGAGGCGATCTGACAGGGCTTTCCCACAACCCGCTTCACACTGTGTCATCTTCACCCTCATGTTCTCCACTTCTTTGGATACTGCCAACACCAGAAGGAGGAAACGTCTGAGTTTACGTTGTGATCATGCCTCGGGATGCAGATATGGTGACGTTGCCCGCACCCACTATTTTGCACAAGACTTGTGGGATTACGTCAGATTCTCTAAGGTTGAGTTCTTGGGATCTCATTTTTGTTCGCGACAAAAGAAGCACCGACCCGTGAACGTCACTGTGAAAAGGCGACGTGCCCCACAGCAACGCTGCTAAGGGCTCAGTGACCGGAAAGAGCGGGACACGTTTCCCACATCCCACGAAGCTCAAGGGTGGCCCGGCCTCAGTGACTGTGATACCAGCGCTGACAGCGGGACGTCCCGCTGCGGGAAAGAGCGCTGCACAACGTACCGTTAAGAAGCTGGCTGTGAAACGCCTTGAACTCGTCAGACATCTGCTTATCTGAAAGGAGAATAAGAGGAGCTCAAGACACGCCGGGGCTCACGCTGAACTGAGGCAGCTACTTTGAGAAGGGGCGGCCAAATCCTACCCATGACGTGCTGGACATGCGACAGGTTCTGCCACGAGCCCGCATGGATCTTCTCGTTCCTCAGCCTTGCTTCTTCCAGAGCCTCCCACATGGCAGTTACTGGGGAAGACGGGAGGAGAAGGGATCTCGGGTTAACCCCAGAGCCCAGGCGAGAGCCCCAGTTCAGTGGTGCTGAGGGATGCTGCCGCAATACTGGAAGCAGCCGTGGCGGATGGGCCCTGCCTCACCCTCCCCGAGGTGCTTTTGCCAAGCAGCAGGTCAGGGAAATCACAGACTGCGAAAGGGATTCTTCAGTGACACGTTTCAGCAGCGATGCCCGCACCGTAGACGTGGCGTTTACACCAGTGGAGCCCCATCTCAGCCGCGTTTTGTTCCCATCACTGGAATTTCCCCTAAAATGGTCCAACCCCCCGTTAGGCTGAGAGGAGCGCCTATGAGACTTACTTTTCTGAAGACTCGTGATGATGAGAGCCATGAGCAGCATAAAGCAGAAGGCCAAGAGGATGTACAGAAGCGCGATGGCTTTCCCCTGGCAGGAGGCAGGGAGGCACCGAGCTGGAGGAAGCGATGTGGGTTTAGGCTACTCAGCGTAATTCACTCCATTAGCATTTTACACAGGGAGAGATTTTACACGCTGAGCATTGCTCTCTAGATGAGGACAAAGAGGCTGGGTTCCCCACAGAATAATAGTTAAGGTAATTCTGGTCTCTTCTCTTGCCCTGTTCTTGCTCACACCTCTCACTCTTAGAAACTATCGATTGAAACTCAACGGTGCTACCGCGTGGCAGAATTTCTTTCATGAGATTTAAGGCCTTTCTATGGATTAAGGCAGTGTCTGATTATAATGTCACGTAAAGGCACTTCTGGAAGAGGTTTAAGCCCTCCTGTTTCGTATGTCTCCAGCCCTACACCCCTTCCTTATCCCCAAGATCATCTCGCTATTACCTCCTTTATGTGCTCTCGGCTCTTGATCTTGCATTTCCATCATCTTGGTGGTCTCCCATTCCTTGTAGCAGCTGTGATCGTCTACAGCTTGTGACATCTCTAACCCCTTTTTTTTTTTGATATGGTCCCAATTTATGTGGTCAGGAATGTGCATCAGCTTTTCCGGGGGAAGTGAACTCTTGTGTTTCATAATTCATATTTTCAAAAAAAAAATGCATACTCAGGAGCTTTGGGCTGCCTGTTGTGAACATCATTTTGCAGCTAAAGACTCTGCAGTGCTGGATCCGTGGGCCTCAGACACTTCCCTGCTGATTTTTACAGGGATGACTTAAAAACACGCTGTACTCATTAGACAAGGCCCAAGACCCCCCCCAAATGGGACCTGCTGAAGGCTTCACATCAAAGCAGCAAAGACGGAGCATGCCAGTTGCTGGAGGCCAAAGACAAGTGCCTGCTTTTAGCATTTTTAGCTGGAATTTATTGCCTGCGTACCTTAACCACCGGGCAGGAATCGGCGCTTGAGGAAAGCTTCAGGGCATGTTTTGCCTCTGGAGTCTTTGAGTTTGGACGTCCTTTCTTCTGGGCCTCTCAGGCCTGATGGGAATGCACTGGATCCTGCTCTGTCTGCTGTTAACACCTCCAGAGCATCTTCTGTGCCACCTAGAAAAAAGCTCAAGGGTGGTTTATATCTGCTGAATACCAAAACCTGTTTTCCAGCCTAAAAGGACCATGAGAAAGCCTCTTGCCCAGCTGCCAAGAGCCTCAGATGAGGCATGTGGCCCTCCCCCCCCGCCCCGCCCCACGGCTGGTGGGGTGGTGAGGAGGTGGCCGGCAGCTCTCCTTTGTGCCCAAAGCTCTCCAGAAAGGTCCCCAGGAGAAGGAATCTGCGGTCATAGATAAGTCCAGAAGTAGCTGCTGTCTGACCAGGCCATGTGGAAACAGCTCAGCACTTTCGATTCAGTCTTTCATGAGTGCAGAATCCACACGGTCAGCACGAAACGCTCTTGAGGCCAGTCTGGATGCTCTCGGTAGTGACGTGGCGGCAAAGAAAGCCCGGGATGGAGCGAGGGTGTGAGTCCAAAGGTCCCATGGGCTGGGGGGAAAGGGAGGCTTGGTGAGATGGGGACCCGTGGGTAATTCTCGCTGTGGTCCCTCCACTCGCTGGCATCTTTGAGATCTGGGCTGTCCCTTGTGGCTCTTCCAGCCATGCAAGCAACTGGGAGCGAGAAGATCTTGAGCTCTCCAGCCCCTTTTTTCATGTGAGAAGCTTGCAGTCCTGACACTATTCACATCTTCCGATGGCGTTTCCTCGATCCCTTCTCTGGGAAATTATTTTGGTGACGTGGGCTGTGTTTATAAAGCTAAATGAAAGAGGGCCAGGCGGCCTGGCCTGGCATACATCAACAGGGCTTAGCGTGAGGCATCTCCTGGCCTCGATGTTTCACAAGATAAAGCTGAGGATGGAAACGAGTTTCTCCAGGCTGAACCAGTGCAATTCCCTGTCTGTTACATGCTCCAGTACCTGGCCATTGCTGAGGCGCTCCACTGGGCTCTCCTGTTTACCGATCTCTCGTACTGGGGCCTCTAAACTGGTCCCAGTAGGCTGGCTTCAGGAGGCCTGGGCAGAGGGGGGGATAATCCCTTTTTCTGTTCTGCTGCTTCTCCTTGCCCGGCCTGGCCGGAGTTCAACCCAGCTTCCCAGATTCGCTGCTCAGGGCCATGAGAAGCTTCCTCCTTTCGTCAAATTTCCCCTTTTTAACTCCCCGAACCAGCACTGGGTGTGACTGTCCTGAGCAGAGGGGAAGTGTGGTCGGCGAGGCAGAACGCCGCCGCCGCCGCGGCCCGCTGGAAGACGGCGTGGATTCTTCCCATCGGGTCCCACAGCACTTCTCACCTTATTTGTTCCCATTACTGGCGAAGGAGTGCTTAAAAAAATTCAAGGTTGGGGGGGCTTCTTAAGCGAAAGGGCTTGCTTGCCCTCTTGTTGGACCTGCGTCAATGCTAAAGACGCAACTGACCTTTATTCTGCATGCGTCTTCCATGTTGCGACAAGACCAGCACCATCGGAGTGAAATATTGCCGGTTCCTGGCACGCAATAGTCTCAGCTCCGTTTTAGGGAGGTTTTTTTCCCTCTCATTTTTCTGCCCTCTCTGCTTTGAGCTTAGTCTGCAAAACCAAGGTAGGGCTGAGCTGGAAGTCAAGAGGAGAATTGAAACTCCAGCTCCAAGCCTGGTGTTTACCCCTTTACCTTTAAAAATAAATAAATAAATAAAATCCAAATCCCCAGCTCGTGGTTGTCCCCCGTGATGCTTCAGCTCCTGGTCAGCACCCCCAGGGTTTTGGTGACCCCCCCCCCCCAGTTCTCCCTCGGTGGCTGCCCCGCCC